AACTTTGCTTGATGTTACAAGATAATAAGGAAAATGGCTTCCCTGTTTTGTTACAAGAAGGATTGTATTATCCAGAGAGTTGCAGCTGGGACCCAGCTGCTCATGACAGCTCTGCACAAACGTGAATGGGTTCAATGTAAAAGCAGAAAGATGACTTTGCCTTTCTCCCTCTTGGAGCCAATGCCTACAGAGTAAAACTTTGGATAAACACCTGGTAGAAAGGGCAATACTGTAGCTTTCTAGAATCTAGCCCAATAGTTTTATTGAAATACATATGCAAACCAGAACTTTCCATGGAAGAATTAACTCTGAAACCAGGAGAGGCATAGGTAATGACTGCATAGGTAGAGGTGGGCACTAACAGGAATTAAGAACTGAATTTCCTAAGGGCAGAAAGGAAGGAGTGCAAGGACAGTGATACTGATCAGTTTCAGGAAACAATCTGAAACATGAAATATGCAGGAAATCGACACACAAAGCAAAACAGAGCATCAAGGCACCTGTCATCATCTTCCTGCATTGGAGCTTCACAAATAGTACGAGGTATGCACAGTTACCTTCCCCTCAAAAGGTCTTTCCAAACGCCTGCAGGCACAAGCCAGATCTGTGCTGCAGACCAGCACCGGTATTTATGATGGCTGATCAGTGATTGCTGATGGTCTTCCTCAGAGGTGCAAACCTCAGGCACAGAGTTTGCTTAGTTGCTTCTGTGGGAAGCACCTGCGGGGAAAAGATCTCAAACACTGGTTTTAGTCTTAAGAAAAAACAGCCTTTCTCTTCAAGCTCTAACCCTGCTGCAAGTCCACGGGGCCTGTCCTCTGCCTGGCTATGACTGACAAACACTTGGCACATTACAGAACTACACCTTTCATAAAGGATTCTTTTTTTTTTTTTAAGTGGGGATTTAACAGTTCCCATCTGTTGGTCTACCTGCTCAGTCCATTTCCATTTTAGTTCATGCAATGAAAGGAAATGATTTGACCAGGAAATGCAGATAAATTATTGTGCTAGGAAAACTAGAAAGTAAAATAGAAGGGATTGTACTATACCATCCAGCCTCACCTTAAAAAAGAAAGGGAAGGAAAATGTAGTGAGGAGATATAATAAGCAACAAGAATGCATTGATTTAGTGTATCCTGCCAAGTACATTCCAGCTTAAGGGCTCCCAGACTGTGGCAAGTAGAAGAATCACCGCTGATGTACAGACTACCCGAGGAGCACACCCAAAATTCCCAGTTCCACACCACCACAGGGGAGACAGGAGACACTTCGCAAATGACTCCACAAATCCTTCTGCACAGAACTGAGAGGTTCTGAGGCCCCACATTCATAGTTCCTCTTCCAAAAGAGGACATGACTGTGCCTTTTCCTCCTCACTTCCCCCCTGAAGAAGCTGCTGAATTTATAGCCTCCTCTTTCCCTTTAACCAGTCCCTTTCTCTTTCCTAGATTTCTCAGTTAATGCACAGTTCTTTAGCAAAGCAAAAGCTTCCACTGGACGGAGTATGCCAGCAGAGGCCTTATTAAGCGCCCCAGAGAAGGAAAGTGTGAAATCACAAGCTAGCTCTATTTACAACCCATTTTTCCCCACACAACATTTGCTTTTCACACTACCATGGACTCATATTGAGAACAACAATCTTCTGTAAAATGCATGTACCATTCTGCAGAATTGCTGCCCATCCAGCAGTTCTTCCACCTGATGTTAGTAATTCCCAAAGAATAGCACATTTTCCTAACAAGTTGTGTTCTATTTTTCTTTTAGAGCACTTATGAAACCTGTGAAGATTTATTTTTAGTTCTAATCTCTGCCACCATGCTCGCTATCCCTCTCAGTTCAGCATCATTGTCCAATATCAGATATTCTCTCCCCATCCTTTTTAAAGGTAGATGTTAAATTTGTGATCTCACCTACCCCCTCTTTTCAAGGAAAATCATTATTAACACTGAGATTGCTTTAGGCTGTTTTATATTTGCCTTGAATGAAACTCACTTGGCTCAGCTGATCTGAGAACACCTCTGCTGTTTAAGTACCACTTACTCTTTTCCTGTTGAATCCCTTTTTAGGATTTATTGAATTAGCTCAAGTGGCAGAAGCCTATGCTGTGGATCCCAAGGCTTCAGCCCAACTAATGACCCATGTCAGGAAGAGATGATATAAAGGAATTTCAACTGCTTAACTTTGATTGCTTTAGTGCCTTTTTCTTTAATGAGTAAAGAGAATTTTTAGGTTACGAGGCCTAGCTCCAAGAAATGAGAAATTCTGACATTAGAACTTCTCTTGTAACTTTAATCTAATGCTTTGCGTTTATATATTGTGATACTGATTTGACTATGGGAGCAGGTACTTTATTGTCCTATAATGCCATAGCCTTGTTCAATATGCGTTCATGTTCTGTGCTGTGCACTAAGAAGTCCTAGGACTTACCTCATTTTTTAGAGGAATTAGAAGATGTAGTAGGAAAGAGGAAATTCTTATGACTGTGATATCTGAAGGGTGCTTGAAGAAAGAAATCCTCTGATTTCCTTCAACAGGTTGCTAATGTTCTGATTTACAAATCACTGGCACCCCTGTTTCTTGCCAGTAGGCACTGGTTATGTGAGTTGTATTTTCTTAGTGCTTAGTCTGAGATATCAGTCAGATCTGTAAACATGCTGAGCACTCACAGGTGTTCACAAAAAGAGCTTTATTTTCAACACAGAAAATGCTAAATTATGCTAAATTCTGGGGGGAAAAAAAAAAAAAGTAAAAATCAGCTGCATTCTGAAAAATTAGCTCAAAGGGGCACTTCAAAGATATTTATGCCTTTTAAAGTCCATGTGCCTTTGTTGCCACATATAACTTCATTGGGATTTATGTCACATGCTATTGCCAAAAACAAACAATTGGTATTTATGCGAAGATTTGGGATGTTACAGTGGCATGTATTATTGGGACATTGCCTTGCATGAGCTGTGATAAAAGGGGTTTGACCACGCTTTGAAATATGAGGGCTAAGCAAGATGCTGGATTGGATTCTAGTTAAATGCTTTTACATGCCCCACAATACAAATCTGGCAAAATATGAGTCAGAGAAGGTATAGCGTGAACTCTCATGAGCGAAGATTGCTTCGGGACACATTCCGGTAAGGAACATGGGGGGGAGGGATTAATTTTATATGGATATCGTTAAAATTGTCAAGATGTAGCTTCTCAGTATCTGCCATTGTACCTTCACGATGTACAAATTTCTTTTGGTTGTATTTATACAGCAGGAGAAAAAATTGTATTTTTTTTCCCCTCTGTTTTTCAGTTCAGCCACTGGAGGGCAACATGAGCTCAGTCACCTGGGCAGATGAAGCACCACAGCCTGGAGAACTCAGCAGCACGCACCCAGCAAAAACAACCAAAGTCAGAAAAGGAATTTCTGCAGAAAGGTATGACAAAAATCAGACGATAAATATATTTAAAAAAAAAAGTTTGTATCTTTACATTTCACTTTTTTTTTTTGAAAGTCAATGTAAAAATTTCTTCCTACATCTAAATCTATTAATATTAAGTTTAGGATGTTTTCATGAGTTCTAAATCACTGGATTAGCCAAAGCGTTTCTAAAGGACATCATGCAAGGCCCACTCAGCCTGGTATCACAAGAGGTGAAATATTTCACACTGCTAAGTAACTGAAAACCTGAGACGTGTTTCTACTCTTGAAATAATTCTGGCAGACTTTTCTGGATTAGTTGTTGCAGCATATGATTTCTTTGCTGTGTTTTAGAAGACTATCAGCTGTGTACACGTGATTTTCTTTAAAATAAATATAAATAGTTTGGCTAAAAATACAGAAGAGAAATAGTTTGGAGCCCAGAGCATCTGGGTTCCTGGAGAGGACCTGAAAATTCATGTCAGATACTCTTGTGTTGGGAAAAGCAAAAAACGAGCAAAAAAAAAAAAGTATAAGAATGTTTGAAAATAATAATAATAATAATAAAGTCAGCCTTTTAGGAAAAGGTACAAAAGTACAGAGTGGATGCCAATAAAAAGAAATGGCACCTTAAAAAGCAAGAGAAAACACTGGCTGCTGTATAGGGTGTAGCAAAACAATGTTTTGCCCAGGAATCTTGTATTGGTTACTATTGGGTTATCTCAGAAGCCAAATCTCATCTTGCTCTCCCCATGCTCTTGGTTTCACAGTCTTCCTCGCCTCTCTTGTGCTGTAAATTTTTGTTTGTTGCTGTTACCAATGCAGTGGTGTTTTTGGAAAGCACTTTCCTGCAGGGACATTGTTCTGGACAAAATAGCTAAGATAACTCACTGCGTGACAGATTGGCTCTGTGACTGCAGCAGCACAAGCCTTTAGTACCCTCCCTGTTCCCCAGAAGCCCCCCCACCAGCAACACGTGTGTATGCCCACACATGCTCTAGCTAATGGTCCAATTTAATCCTCGTAGCACAGGGATTTGTTCCCTATCCATTCAGCCGGCTTGTGTGAGGGGACAGGGAGCATTCAGCTGCTACACAAGGCTCTTTCCAAGCTTGGAGGGAGAGGATTCCTTTCTAAATCCCCATTTGTTTAGCTGCACCTGGAAGCAGATTGAAGTCACACTGAAAGGATGGAGCTCTGGAGCTTTAGAGAAATAATAACTTGTAAAAATGGAGCATTGTGGTCATGGAGGACATGATGTCACGTTTTAAAGCTTTGAATTCTTTTGAGTTTCAAGTTTGTGCTTTTCTGGTAGAGTAGCAGTGTAAAGAAGGGAGCTGCTGTCTGATAGGATGGAAGAAAGACATTTTTATTTATTTTTTTTATTTACATGAATTGATGCTAGCCCAGGACGCTAGCAGATATGTGACAGTGTCAGATGGTGAGGCAGGGAAAGAGTAATTTCACATTTTCCCTGCCAGTTGTTTTTGGCGGGAATTCCTTGGAGGGAGTTAAGTTGATGGCAACTGTTGAATTTGTTGTTTGGTTGCTGTTTTTTTTTTTTGTTTGTTTGTTTTGTACTAGACAAAACAGATGTTCATTTTTTTTTAATAATTTCCTATTGAAATAAGTGGCAAATTCAGCCATCAGAAGAGGCTTGATTTTTAGAGTGGAAATGGAGCCTCAGAACAATCCTGCTGTGATCACAAGGCTGGGTAAAGTCACAACTACCAAATGAACTCTTGTTTTGGAGACTGTTTCAATATTCACGTTCAGTAATTGCATTGTAGAGGAGTCAGCCTAATTATTTGCTTTCAGTCTCTAACTTTAGCTCTGCTGACACATTCTTGGTGAGAGCAGAGCTGGCATTTAGTAATGGCCCTACACTTGCCCTGGGATAATGCCGTGTACTCTATTTCACTTTCTTTTCTGCTCATTTCTTAAGTCACAGGGGAGCTCATATGACTAAATTAATGAAGGTTAAAATGACTTGTGTTTATTAATTCTGTGTGCAACTCTTGTATGGTTAAAACATTAAGGAAAATCTGCATTATGACGGAAGGATATTCCAGTAATTGCCTGTAATTACAAGGGCAGCTCACTACAAACACAGTTAAATGCATCATAGTGACAGACAGTAAAAGCGGACGCTTCCGTGGTTCAGGACAAGTCTTGCATTTCAGAAAGACTGAACAAATGCCATGTTCTCCCTTGGCCAACTGACCCGGGAGCTGTTGGATTCGTGCCCAGCAATGACACTATAAAAGCCATTCAGTTTACTTACAGTATTTGGGGTTGTTAGGAACACAACTGCAGGTGATTCAAATAACCAGGCTAGAATAAATTAAGCTATATTTGTGTTCTGTCACAAGGAGCCGATTTGCTGTTATTTTATAGTCGAAATAAATGACTCACTTACCTTACCGCTGTAGTAGCAGAAAGATTTTGGCGTATATATGAAGACAGTCAAAGGCACCCTTAAATATATTGGTTTTAATATACCTTACTGATGGAGGAACTTCTAATAAACCAAGCCCTGAGGGAACATGTTGCATAGGAGGTGCGTTTTCTTCCTATTTGCTGAAGAGAATGTTATCAAATTCAGTATTTGTCTTTTTTTAATCTTGAAAGGTAAATTTCTGGCTGAAAGAGGTTGTTGGAAAAAGGATCCCTAAAACAAGGAGATCAATTTAGGGCAGAAACTTTTTTATCTTACAAGGCTCCAGGTCAAATTAATCCCTGGCATACCTAATTTCAACGGCTGCAAACCAGAGCAGGTGCTCTGTTGTGAGGGGAAGGTTTTATGCTCACTAAAAGCAAGGGCATTTTTTTTAACACAAAGGCCAACAATGTGTTTGTCCAACTCAGATGTTCTCTTTATTTTAATGTGTTCTGACAGACTTCAGCTACCAGGTGATGACAAGAAATTAGGGAGACTAAAAGTTAATGGAAATGGGGGCTTAATGACCAAGGGGGATCCATGAGAGACCCTCAAGCCTTGTTTCTCTGGGCTGCCTGTGTAAATGCACTTACTCTTCATCCATTTGCATGAAAGGGTGGTTTGGGGGATTTTGAACCCTAAGGCAAATTATTTTGTTACCAAACACACAGCCACAAGTCCTCCCTCATCATTAAGTGGCTGCCTATTGGAAGAGTGAGCATGTTTTATTGCTAAAGACAAGTAAGCCTTTATCTACGTGATGCCCCTTCTAGTTCATGAAAGTAATTGAAAGGTTGTCTTATCAAGTGAATTGTGTCCCTTTTTTTGGGTAAAGACATTTATTTGGGAAAGGTCTGAATTTGCTTCAACCTCTCACTTTTTTTTTTGAGTTTTCATTTCAATACAGGGAATAAATTTGGATGGACTAATCAACTTCAGAGATGAACCTGCATTAAACTAACCTTCTGTACATTGGCACATCTTTAGAAAGAAGTGGGAAGGGCACTGGTCCTACAGGCAATTCATTGCCTGGGACAGAAAAGGTTTACATAAACTTTGAGTGAAATTATTTCTCTCACAGGGCACTGTGCATCCTCATTTCCTCTCTTTAGTGCTACTCTAGTTGTGTGCTTTGGTGTGCAAGAGCAGTTTGGGGTGGCTTTTTTTAAACTACCAGTTGCAGCTTCAAAAAGCTATCCAGATATTAAAAGATATTTAATGTAGAGTTAAATGTACTTCCTATTTTGGTGTGGAAGCATGTCTTTGCCTACAGGTCCTTGGGGCTAACGTCAGATACCCAGTAAGTGAAATTAAATCAAAATCTAATCATTTTTGTGTGCTATGAAGTAAAAACAAAACAGAGCCCAGAGATATGACCGTTCTGGATAGGCACGGGTTAAGAGGTAAAACAGAACCATTTCAGACACACTTTAAGCTGTGTCTCTGAAGATAATGACTTGAAATCAATTATCAGCATAGAATGACAGTGCTTACCCCATCGCACAGTCTTTCTCACAAAGTCAAGCAGAAGCATGAGTGTACTCTTCTAAGCCACATACATCTTTATTCTCCACCCAGGCCAGCAAGGATGGGGAAAAATGCAACTAAAAATAACAATCAGTAAACACACACTATCTGTACTTAAAAAAAATTCAGACTACAGCAGCCAGAAACACACTCAACAATCAAGTAACTGGTATTCCCTGCAGTTTGGCAGTGGCATGTAAGCAGAAATTGTGAGTTTCTGTAAGCAAAGGTAGAACAAGACAGAAACTTGTGCTTTCTTCTATTACAACAAGTGATTATGATTATATATTTTGCAGCAGGCAAAGAGCTCCAATGGATAACAGGCAAGAGAAAAAGCTATCCAGAGTTGTTTTGAGAAAAGTCTGAATAAAACTTTTAAAAATAGCACCAGAACTAACCCCAAGCTTAAAGCAGCCCCCATCCAAATCAGTGGCAGAACACCCTGATCTCATCAGGAGGAGGTAAGCTTGGTTGAATATGTAATGAAGTAGTAAACACACGATGGATTGTTCCAGCTTTTACCCCAAAAGGTGGACTCCAAGTGGTTTCTCTATACCCAGAAGCACAGCTGCCATGGCACAGAGGGGGGAATACACCTCTTTGGATGCTCCTTTGTGTTCACATAGCAGCAAGAGGCACAGATTTGGTTTTGTCTCGGTTCTGGCAGGCTGTTTGCAAGCCTGAAAGCAATCCTGCAGCTCAGCAGACGTTTCACATAGCTGCGCTCTGTACTTATCACTCAAACCCTCTGTAAGCTGAAGGCTCGTTGTGCTACTGACCCCAGCCTTTCGCTCCGCCTTGAACAGCTGCTGTTTGGCAGTGACAGCTGAACTCTCACCCTCTGAACTTTCTCCCAGTGAACTGGTCCCAGTGGCGCAGGTCATCTTTGAACCCCACTGAATTACTTCCTGTTGCTTCGCAGGCTGGGGACTTTTTTTTTTTCTTTTTGCTGGCAGTTGGCCATTGCCTTTAGAGACCCCGTTAGTAAAAGTTCTGCATAAGGAAGTAGCAAATGCAGCCTGGCTGTACCTGAGCACAGGGACACCTCGGCTTTGTTGGTAAGCTGTAGGGCCAAGCCAGCTCTTTCTATTTGGCTCACACACTGCTCACACTGGTAATTCTCAAGCCAGTGCTAAGAGGCTTCTTTGGCTGGACATCTCAGAAGCGGACGGACCAAGGATGCAGCAGGAACTTCACTTATTTCTCAGTGTCAGGCGCAGAGCATCCAATGGACTTCTTCATCCATCGCAGGCTCCCAAATGTCCTGATCGGGATGGCTGCTTAGTGTAGCCTTGAGATCATCCTTGAAATGCGATATGAAGCATTAGCTCCTGTGAAATCCAGTTTCTAAATGCTTCTCTTTGACACCCTAAAACTCGAGCAGCTCCCCTTCTAGCATGGGAGTGAAACCCCAATCCAGACATGAGTGGCATACTATGAATTAGCTACCTACACGCATGCAAACGGTGGGCCCCTCTGGGCTGGGGCTGAGGCAGACTTTCTAGCAGCACCATCTGAACTAGAGCGCTCAGGAAATTAGTGATGGTGCAGACATTTCTAACTCAGTCCCCGTTACAGTCCATTAAACCTCTCCTTCCCTTTCCTTGTGCCCTCCTTAGGCTGAGACCTCAACAACCATGCTCCATTCAGACAAAAACTTTTCTGCTTGTGATTTTTTTTAAAAAGACAATTAAAATTTCTCTGGCCTATGGTGGCCACCTCAGTCTGGCCTGGGAGCCCGCTAAGATGCCACGCAAAGTCCCAAAAGGAGGGAAGTCAATTAAGAAAATGAGACATGATGGGAGGAGGATGTACAATCTGTTGCTCTTCCATGTAATTAACCAGGAGGCAGGGGGTGGAGGAACAGATTTCTGGAGCGGTGGCACTGATGCAGCTTGCACTGGTGCTAAGAGGTTCAGGCTCAAAGGTGCCCCATTCTGCACGGGATGGTTCAGCGTCTCCTCTGTAACAGCAACTTGAAAAATTGAATGACCATTTCAGTGAGACTTTCCCATCTCTAGCATCTTCAACACCACCTTCCTAAACTGAGGTGCATCAGACCACATTGTGGTGACACCCAAAACGATCGCCCTGCCTCACAGCAGGTGTTTCTTCCCAGCACTGCAACTGCTTGCGCTTCACACTCACAGCCGTTCTCTTGCATAAGACTCCTGTAGCCCATTCCCTCGTAGGAGTGCATCCAACAAGAGATGGAAGGTCCCAAGGACACGTGTGCAGCTGGTGATGTGCAGCGCCTCCACGCAGCACTGCTGAGCAAGTCATGTGTGGGACGCGTTTCAGGTCAGCACAGATCTCGTGCCTTTGTCAGAGCTGTGCTGTCCTCTTCCACTGGAAGGCTGGGCACAACTACTGTGGTGCGCTGCTCTTTCAAACTGACACTTTCTCAGCAGTTAGCAGACCTGAAAGGTTTTTGCATTTTTTTTTGGAAGAACTGAAGAAGGATCCTTTCTAGGAAAACTGCAGGAACATCACAAATCTTGTGATTTATCCTTCCCTTATGAATGAGTTTTCGATCTCCTGAAGTTCATCCCCTGCATATAGACTTCTTTTTGCTGGGTTGGCAGGTCTCTATTATGTCCTATTCTCTAAAAGTGAAGTCTAACTTTACAGAAGAGGTCTTTTCGGCATATACCTCTGTCACCTGCAAAACAGCCTGAGCCCCACAGCCCTGGGTTTTCTCACTGTTCCCCAAAGTTGTAATTAGCTAAAACAGATGACAAATCACTGGAGAGCCATGCACCTCCCCACAAACACAACGTGAAGCTAGCACACTTGCATTCTGTGACATTTAAAGAGCACTCCCAGCCTGATATTTTATTTGTGTTTAAATATATGTATATATATATATATAAAATCAGTGTGTTATTTCCTAGGGGAAAACCACTCACATATGACCAAAATAGTCAGGACAAAGGCTCAGACTGCTGAAGTCTCAACACCCTGTGCAGAGCTCTTGCCAGAGAGACTACCTGAGATATTATCAGAATCTAGCAGCTCAACAATGCTGTACGGAGAACAATCTTCCAAACCCAGCTTGCTGCAGAGCCAGCCACAGAAGCCCTTCTCCATATCCCTGACAGCATGCCACCAGTCTGCAAAGGACCATGATACCTGGGTCACAGCCGAGTACAGGCCTAGGGAAAAAGACACAACCATGATTATAATTGGGTAGAAGATGATCAAAAAGGGGCAGAAGGTGATTTTGTGCCAGAAGGTCCTCTCTTCATTGTATACCAAGAAAATGTTGTACCATGTAATGGTTCCATAGTAGAATGAAACCACGAAGGACACCACAAAAATAACGGGGAGGCAGATGATGGTCCAGAGGACGATGTGGGGCCCCCTGTCCAGCCCAACATCACATTTCTTTTTCTTTTCAAGTACGTCTTCTTTAGGAGGTTCCTTTGACTTAGTCAGTTCCTGCAGCTCTTTGTCTGTTAGTGTGACATGGATGTCCACCATCTGACCCTTCTTCTTTCCTCTGGTGATTGTTCCAGTCAAGGTGACGTATCGGCTGTCTAAAGGCATGTTCCAGACACCTACGAACACAGATAAACTCATCCACATTAGATTTCTTTTCTTTGTGGAGTATTTTTATGTAAATCCCCAAAGACCCTGAAATGAATCAGTGCAGATGGAGTAATAGTTAAATAAAAAGAAGATGGAATGCAAGAACCAGTGCAGTATAGATACAATTATTGCAGAAGAAATTGGAAGATAAGCCAATGAGATGACAGAAATCACAAGGGAGAAGACACCAACATCTGTACTGGGGACAATATATGAAAGAAAAGTGCTGCAGGAGCATATGGGAAAGAGACAAGACAGAGCAACTGACAAAAAAACAGTAAGCCTCTTTTCCCTGCTTCCCTCAGAGATTTATTCCTGAACAGCAGGGATACTTGGTGTAAATGTTCTAAATATGAATAAGGCTCTAGGACTGGAATAAGCACATGCACCCATGGAGGTGTACTTGAGTAGTTGTTATTCTACTTCATATTTGCACTGTATCTCAATCCAAATTATTTTTTAAATCTTTAGAATATCACAATGTCTCATATTCACTAAGTCTCATATAATTACATTTGCATTTTAAGGGATCAAGAACTGCACCTAACAGGAAAGTGTTGGGATGTGTGTTCAGATCACACTTTTTGGTTTAGGATGGTCCCTGCAGTGGCACGGGGCGTAAACTCGTCTGTGGGGCAAAGATACACTTCCTTCTGGACTTAATTCCAACTTGTGAAGGAACTCCGAGGAATTTGTCATGCTCTTAAAGGGAGCGGTTTGAAGTTGCCCACACAAACAGGAAGGCAGCAGGGAAGCGTGAGGGTTGGGGTTAGGATCACGGGGAAGCCAGGGTGGCTGAAGGACCAGGAGTGGGCATTTGCATTAAACCCTCAACTCATGGGTTAGCCATGGGACCGGCCTCACACACTTCTTCCCTCCGAGGGCAGCCAGGACAAACATCAGAAGTGAAAGTGACTCTGAGATGGCCTACGATGACCTTGCCAAATAATCAGTCTTAAAGAGGAAGCTGTGCTGAGATTATGCAAGCAGAAGGCAAACAGCAAATCCTAGATAATGAGTAAAGCTCCCTAGCACAGGTAGAGCGCCTCAATCCATCTTCTGCCATCCTTTCACTTAACAGGCAGTTGTTTCAGGCACAGATTGGGGCTTGACCACAGCATCACTGGCATAAAGTATGCTCAGCACTTTGGATCATCCCTAACCAGGGCATACATTTAAAACGAAGCACAGGGCAATGACTAACACCTGCAAAGAGCTGCAGGAGACACCCCAAATCAGGCTGTAGTGCTTTTTGTTTCAGAGCATTTTCGTTTATGAACTCAAACTCTCCTTGCCTGCGGTCTTGGTGGTCCCACAGTCACCTCCAGCTGAGCTCAACTCACGCTGGCATCAAGGGTGGCCCTGCCACTGCCTCCCCTCTCCCTGGCCCTGCATTCCTGTTTGGGGTCTGCACCGCACAGGACCCACAGAGCGAGGAAGGGGACCCTGGGTTTCTGTGCCTGTAGCTCCCACCGTCAGCCTCTGTAACCTACCTCAATAAATCTCGTGAATCCAAGAGGTGTAAAAAGCATGGATTTCCCAGAATGCAGGTATTCCTAATCTGCGTTTCTAAATGGCAGCAAGCACCCCAACCTCTTTCCTGAATCTGTTGTGGCGCTCAGTGACACCAAGGTTTATGGGAAGTGGATATTCCCAGGGATACGTACCATCTGCCGAGGACTGACCCAGAAACTTTGAGCCTTCCTCAGAGTTCCTCTCCCCTCCTTCTTCATCTGCCTGCTCCTCTTCCACCTTATTCTCGTTCTCCGACCGATACACTATTACTGACTCGGGTCGGGACTCTTTCTTCTTCTTTTTCCTCCGGTCCATAGTGGCTTCCCCATCAAAGGTGACCGTGGTTGCCACCGCCTTCCTCGCGGAGCTGTGGCGAGGGCTGTGGGTCCCGGACTTGCTCTCTTTCTGCACCGTCTCCTCCATCCCACTGCTGCTCTCAAGCACCTCACTTGGCATCTTGTAGGGCTTGTTTCCAGGCTAACAGCTCCTGCACTTAGAAGCCACTGATTAGACAACGGTCCCAGGGGTGCTTTGTTCTGGTAAAATGTCCCACTGCTGACATCCAAACTGTGCGCTCCATCCCCAGCCTAAAATGAGAGAGAAGGCAGAAAAAGTGTCTGCTTCACACCGAGCAGAAAAAAATGACATAACTTTTCTTTAAAGGGTTACTTTCCAACCGGTTTAAATGTCATCTGAAGATCTGATCCTCATTACTGTCCTGCACATCAATTTTATTACATGGGTGCATGTTTTCTCATATCACCTAATCCTGATTCTTAGGTTCCAATTTTAAATATTAAAAAATAAAAAAGCTATTTGAAGAGGAAAGAGTTTAAAACATTTGTAAGAAGAGATTAAACAAGCACAGCTTATTGTGTGACTTTAACATTCCTCTGCAATGCTGGAAGCAAGCAGAAGACAATGGTTTTGGCTGATGTGAAAAAGAAATACTGAAATCACAGACAAAAATCAAGCTGAATAATTTAAAGGACTGGCCTAGCTTAGAGACAGCTGCAGCAGACATCCCACGTTCTGATAGCTCTGGTGGTGCCAGCCTCTCGAGCTCTGGGTGTCTTCTGATTTACTGCCCATTGCAAGGATGTTACCAAGAGCAATCAAATGATGTCAAAATGAATGAGATTTCAAACCCTACCAATTTAGCATTGTGCACTTCTGTCAAACCTTAAAATACAACGTATACAGTAGATTTAAAGGAAAATTGCTATTAAGATGACTTCACTGGGGAGGGATTTTAAAACCACAGCACAGCCTTCTTACTGTGCAGGGAAAAAACAACAACAAATTTTCATAAATATTTATAACAGATATAAGGACTTGGTTTCTGCTCATTCAAGCAAAACTACCACTAATACCAAGTGACAGAGTTATCTATGGGAATGCTGCCTAAGAACACACCACGTGATTAAACACGCATCAAGGCAGACAAGTCCTGCTCCTTGAACCTGCAAAACACGGGATTAATGCTTCTCAGATTCCGTAACATTTACAAACACAACTGCCAAATATTCATGAAGTATTTAGGTACACGTCTAAGTACAAGAAATAATGTTTTAACAACCCTGAAGAGCTCTGTTGAATGGCTCAGATAATAGGTAGAAATTTATATATATCAATATATACATGTATATATCCATATATATATTTATATATATATATTCCAATAATAAAATTTCTGCCTATTATCTGAGTCATGTCTTTAAGAGGAAACCAAGAAACACAGTTATCATAATGTATAGCCCAATAAATGCCGGGGAAATTGTTTTACTTGAACAGTGAAAAATGTTGAGCATTTTTAGATCTGGTATTATGGTCCCCATCTTCCCAGTTATAAGGTTTTACTGCTTTGTTTTGAATTTTTTTTGCAGAACTTTAGGTCAACTGCTTATGCCTCGCACGCTCACACACACGGATACACACAACTGTTACCTGTATCGCTTTCATCTGAAGGCTATGGCCAGTTGGCTTTGTGTGGTTTAAAAAAAAAAATCAACAATTCAGATTATTTTTTGCATTACAGAAAATAAATCTTCCCTGGTGAGCAGAGGAGACATAAAACGGAATTCCAAAATCATTTGGCACATCCCAGAAGTCAGACTGCTTCTAAAGCACTGGGCACAGGGATATTTTGGCCAGCTCTGCAACATGGCTGGAAACGGACTGTTTGGATTGCCATCCGAGTTCACACCTGCCATGCAAAAAACATATGCCTCGATTTGCAGACATGCTGGAAAACAGCTCTGTAAAATACTAAATTTACTGCAAATACTGTCCCTTCACTGCATCAGCCATAAAACTTCATGTTTGGCCTCTATGAAATCCTAAAATCACCTGATTAAGCCTAGCAAGCCCCTGAGACAGCAGCAAATTTCCCCTGCTACAAATGGGGTAAAAAAAAAAGAAGACAGAGTCACTGAGAAGCTGAAAGCATCACTATTGGGATGACCTACTAAAAGTCTGGAGACATGGAAGTTAATTTGGGATTAGATTTCCAAAATTCCTGGCTGTAGTTCCAGGCTCAGCCCATACTGCCTTGAAAAGGGGACAACTTGCCAGTAATATTTAAAAATAACCCAAAACTAAAAGCAAAGATTTGTGTTTGTTTGTGTTTTTAACAAGTTTATCTAGCTGTGACCTTCATTAACTCACAGTAGATGAAAACCTAATGTCAGTTCTTGGTGTAATGTCAAAGCCTAAAGGACTACGCCAGTTTTGGCCAGGCAACGAGGAGCAACGTGATGTTATTTGTCAATTTGGCACAGGTAGGATTGCTACTGGAAATCTGTGTCCAGTTCTTGCGCTCACCAGTCAGGCATGATGCCGAATACTCATCAGATCTGTGTGCTTTATATCAGAAACAAAAACGTGGTGAAGAAGATCCCTCTAATCCAGCAGAGGAGGATGGAGCAAGATAAAAAGCCGACATACAAATACAGAGCAGACGTTAGGTAGGTGTTTTAACAAAGCGTAGGTGTCCCTCGACGTACATCTCTGGGGGCTGTGGAGAATTGTACCGTCACTGGCAACTTCCAAATCTGGACCGGGTATCTTGGTTACTGGTACTTGACCAGAAGAGGTGTTAATGTAGGGAAGTCTAACTTGTATTAAAGGATCATAAAGATCCTTCCTGATTTAAGCTTTCACAGCAGATGTTTTCTCTTTTCTCCTGGTCCTGACCCTCTGAAGACAGCACCTTGAAACACCACCATCAGCCCCACACCCCTCAGGGCTGCTGCTGAGTCAAACAGGTTCACACCCCCAGCCCATTTTGTTGAGAACATTTTCTGTGGTTTCAAACAAAAACTGGTCTCTTGCAAAAATCCCAGTAGCAGACACTAAGCGTGTTCTTTCTCTGGTCTTTATTTGCAGTAAGAATGAGACCAGCCCGCAGCACACCACAGCCACCCATAGCACCAACTCTTTCAGCCATATGCTGAGATCTCAACCCCTTAAAAGCCGTGCTGTGGGGCTGAAGCAGGACACGTGAGTGATGACCATCTCCAGGTGGGAGCGCCGAGGGAGATGAGAATCTCCTAACCATCCGTGTGAGAAAAGGAAAAGAAATGGTGAAATTTGAGAGATAGCAGGGAGCGTTTTATTAGCCAAACAATTTGATATTAATCTCTGTGTGAAAACAGATGGAAAACCCTGGGGAGGCAGCTCTGCAAAAACACGCTGAAGAAGAATTTTTAGAAGCCAAGTCTTCTGTTACTATGCAGGAAAGCTACTGCTGCTTACGCTTCCCAAACATTAGTCTTTGACACACAAAACAGGAGCCTAAGAGCTTGGTCTTGCACCATGTAGGTCAAAGGAAGTTTTTCCATTGGCTTTCAGGGACTGCTGCTGCTGCTGCTGCTGCTAACAGAGGAGAAATTATCCGGTTTGAACGCAGACAGGAAGGAAGTGCCTCCCCCCAAGCTAATAAAATCCTTGATCTCAAATCCCTGCTACTGCACAAATAACCTTTTTATGACTGCTCAGAGGAGACATGAGAGGAAAAAATGTAGACTGTAAGCAGTGAGGAGCATCATTTTTTATTTTTATAGTCACATAACATGTACAACACGTAACAAGAACTGGCACTGTGTCTTCACTCTCATCACATGGGGGTTAGCTGCAGGAACAAAAAACAACCGGTACTTTAGAAGCACCGTGAGTTACCCACAGGACAGGGAAGAGATCAGGGAAAATTTACCCTAGACATCTAGCTTGAGAGAGAGCTCCCCAGCCACAGGTCCCCCTCTTCCTGCCTCATTCACTCCATAGCCTCCCCCGTCCTCATCCCCAACCTTTCCTCTGATTTTGTGCCTGCATCTGTGTTGCTTAGGTGCATGTTAGCCAAAGGATTAGTTCCAATCCCTAGTATTTTTAAAGGGCTTATCTGCTTGCTGTCAGATTGTACATATGAAAAATGGATGGTATCAGAGGCATCCAGCTGTTGGGACAGATCTGTCTGCCACCAATCAACGTTATGACAAAATGCACTGGTCCAATGCGGGATATACAGCCCCAGACCCTACAAAAATAGGTGGCAAGACCTATATAAGAAAGCACATTTAATTCAGACCTTGTGCTGGGACAGGGACGAACAGTAGGACTTACCTCAGTGATTTGACGTGGTCTTTCACATACGCATCCTCACCGTACCCTGCTGAAGCAGGGAACAATGCCTGTCTCCATTTCACAGTGAAATAGCTCAAATTAGATTACAGTTCCTTGAATCCAGCGAATACACAGGCTGTGATGAATGATCCGTTAGAAGGCAAGGTGGGAACAGCTCCTCCCTACCAGTGCTAGTGTCTGTGCAGCCTGCAGTGAACTTGACAGGGGGATTTATCTCACTGAAAACAAGCCTTTTGCATTTTAAAAGAAAATAAAATGTTATTTTCAGCCAGATTAATTCCCTCATCAAGTTCACCATGCAGCCACCACTAGAGGAAGAAATGTTCAAGGAAGGGGAGGGGAAAAAAACCTTTACAGCAGCAGCCCATAGCAAGCTGCTTTAAGTGTCTGTGCAACGATAGCAGAAGCACAAAGAAAAACACCTGCCTGTGGCCTGCCAGCAAAATAGGAGAAAGGAAGCAACAAAGCTCATAGATCACACCCATTTTTCCCTCCCTGTTTAATCCACAAGCTTCAAGGCACTTTTATTTTTTAAGGAAAGAAAGAGAGGCAAGAAAAAAAGGCCATGGTCTCAGCGTGCATCCAAGCAGGAGCAGACCCCAAGCTGGACAGCCAAAAGCACCGAGTCTGACACAGTAAGGTGACCCCTTTCACCAAAACCTTCATGGGTTTGGTAATGGAGTTCGCCACCCCCTGCCTGACCATCAGGAGGCGGGGATGGTAAAAGCAAAGGGAAGAGTGGGCAAGCCACCCAGTCTGCAGTCAGACACAGCTAGACCCAATTTTGCCCAGTCCTGAGTTATAACTGGCAAACGCAGTCATTCATTTATCGCTGCCAGCACTCGGTGCTGGTGCTGCCCCACGCTGAGGCTGCCAAGCAGCTCCTGGACCACCGCAGGTGTTGACAAGAGCCTGGCCAGCACGGGACGGCCTGCGCAGAAGCTGCAGTTCAGCACGGACAGAATGCCTTGGGCTCGCATCGAGGGCTCACCAGCTCCGCTGCCAAGCTGTGTGGCTCAGGGGCGCTGCTCTCCCTGCAGTCCTTCGTCCTCCGTGTGAGGCACCCAAACGCCTGCTGGTGGTACTCCAAAGATACAGGCAAAATAAAAATAAAAGCAGTGAAGAGGAGCTTTCCAAAGCATCACTAAATTGTTTCTGGATGACATTTTCAATGACTTTTTTTAAAAGTCAAGGGCATTTTACAGAATATCTGTTTTATGAATCAGATCTTTTTTTTTCCCTCTGCTGTTCCGTAACTTTTCCAAATGTCAGGGAATGATAAATGCTGTCTAGATTAGTATTACCGAAGTCTGAGAAATGGCATACAAGAACAGCTGTGCATTTTAATTTTATACTAAACAAATTAGTCAATTTTTTTGCATGCTAACTTATTCAGAATTCCCAAACACTGCTGGTCTACCTTTTTTTTTAGAGCTAAAGTCTGAAGTGCTGTCTCTGCCTTGTCTCCACGTTCTTTGTCCAGACTGCTAAATGAGAAATGAAGACAAAGCACTCAAAGTTTCCCACTGCTTCCAGGGATGAGATCTGTTTCCTTACGTTTATTTTACTCTGTGGAAAACTTCTGTGAGTGGCATGTACACAAGAGTCTTTAAAGACAACCAAGACCTTAAAAGGAGCACGCCTTGAAGGATGGTTTGAAATCCTCAAAGCAATTCAAGTGGATTCCAAAGCAGGCTTGAATAAACTTAACAGAAACGCTTACACTTTTAGGAAAAAGATCCTGATGATAAAGCAAAGCTGCGTTCTCTCTCTTGTCCGCTATTCTAACCCTCACTGCTGCATTTGCCCAAAGTGGGTCATCCTGCACCTTGAACCAGCAGGTGCCTATTGCAATTCCTTCCCATCTACCAGGACCCTGCTGTATTACACAGTGCCATCCGCAGGAGCTGCAGAACGCAGTCGGTCACACCAACGTGAGCGCAGCGTCCCGCCTCCACAGCAACGCCCTCAGCCCGGGACCTGGCAGCGCATCTGTTTTTATTTCAGTAAAAGAGTAAATGTTATTTCAGTAAAAGAATCACAAGATCTCCGTTTCCCTTCCTTAGGAACTCATGCAGCACTCTTGCCAGGATGTTTTAATGTGTATTGGACTCTCGCCTGACCTTTACAGTAACTAAAAACTAGGATCCTGCATTAGCACCTCAGGCTCTTTTTCCATCCCTTCCTACCCAGAAGATGCCTGACTGTGTCTTGGTCCCCTCTCCTTCCTGGCCCTGCTCTCTGCTGCAAGAAAATCAAGCACGCCAGTGCCTTACTCAGAGAAAATGAGGAGACCCCAAAGAGCAAAACCTGCAATTAGAGAGAAAGGAGTTGGAGCCACGCAGTGCAATGGAAAACACAGTCAATTCTAAATCCAGTACGGGAAGAAGGTATCTGAAAAATCCTGACACAAAACCGCACCTTGGAGTTCTTATTTGGGTAAGATGCTCAGGGGCTGCAGATCAGAGCTTTCTCTAACACCTGGCTGCAGCCCAGGAGTTGCTGAAGAGCCAAACTCTACAGAGCAAGAACTGGAAGGTCCCCCGGGAGTGATTCAGGATTGCTTAATGCATTGCACAGTAAATATAATCTAAGATACTTAGACAGTATCTCTTGCAGCAGGAATTAGTTGGCTCAGGGGACTCGCAATTGGATAAAAGTGCAGATACAGATCCATGATGCCAGGGTATTAAGGACGCAGCACTTTCAATTGCAGACAAGGAAATGCTCCAGCATCATTAATACAGTGTCAGTGGGGTGCGTGATTATTTAGAACATGTACCCGTGCCAAACTGTAACTGATACCCTACATCTTCCCTGACTACAAACTCTACTTTGAGTATGGTGCCTGTCTTCAGTATCTCCTTTTTTTTTTTTTTTTTTAATTAAGTCACTGGAATGAAATTCCTAGACAATGATGAAAGCTAGGGAAATCCTGATTATCTCCTACTTAGACTGACGGACCTCCAGATATCCCTGCGAGCAAAGTATCTGCCCGGTGAGGAAGTCCCTGAAGAGATGAATTGGCCAGGGAATCTAACCACCAGATGGGGCTGACCAGGAAGGCAGAAGTCATGAAATAGAAAGGCTCTCATGTACCAGTGAGAGGAGATGAAAAGGAAAACCAGCCACAGCAGAGAATGCACAGACAGGAGGTGAAAGTGGCAGGGACTTTTGAAAAAAAAAAAAAAAAGAGGAGGCCTTTGGTGTGATCCCATGGGAGAGTCCAGAGAGGTATGGGAACAGAAACTCATACCCTTTTTCATTAAGTTATGGCTCCACCCTCATATTTCTGGTAATAATCATAGGGATTGTATAGGGAGTAAAAAGGATTGCTGTTATACTTTGTGCAATTTGGTATTCCAGGAGAAGAAAGCCATAAACCTGGAGCATCCATGGGAGTGGGGCCTGGGAAAGCAGCAGCAGCCAGAGCTGCAGGTTGATCTTCCTAAAGGCTAACTAGCAGAAACCCTCCGTCATAAATCATCTTTGACCTTAAGGTTTTATATGTAGCGCTAGGATGCTTTTCATTAAATCTCCTCTGCTTTCACCTCCCTGTGAGACTGCTGGTCCCAGGGACACCTCTCCTGGGATTCAGATGCCACCGAGGTTTCTCTCCTGTTTGGAGCCATCTGTCTCTCTCCTCAGTTTGGTATTTAACAACTCGGAGACCTTCCCCCTTGCCAACATGGATTACAAGATATGGGGGGGCACAAACAGGGTGAATGCACAACCCCCCCAAAGGACAGCAGGCTGTAAGGAATATTAAAGCAGTAAATATTGCTGCCAGGACTTCTAAAGCATGGCAGAGAGCTGGACTGGCAGATGTCATCAGCTGAATAGCTAAGCCATAGGCTGGCAAAGCACAAAATCTGTCTTTGACAAAAGTAGCCTTTTCTGAAAATGCAGTTTCCCATTCATCTCAACAAATCGAACTCGTTCATTCAAAGCTGAGACACAATCTGGGAGCTGAAAAAAAAGCCAACAGAGAGCTAGTTCTTTCCTAGTCAATCTATAAATACAAAAGTAGATGCTAAAGAATGAAGTGCTAATTGCACAACTCTGAAGGGCTGACAAGCGGAAAAAAGCAACTACTGATGCATTCTTTTTTCTAAATGTGTCATTTTGAATTTGGAATGTTAATGTTTTTAGGTGATAGATACATCAAGGAAACAAAATTAAGCAGGTTTTAGCATCAAAAAAAAAATAAAAGTGAAGACTGAGGATTTAAATGCCGATTTATTTTCATCCAAATGCAAGCTGACACATACTGCAAGTTAAAACATAATAATAAAATTAAGAATTTTCTGTCTAATCAGACACTGCTTCCTAATACATATCCAAACATTAAATTTATAGAATAACATAAAGGAATAGCCTTCTGCTTACTGACTTTACTGCTGTGGCTGCATGTAGTGACAGACCAACATGTTTTAATGCTACCAACAAAGGAAAATGAACATTCCTTTGTGACTAAGAAAGTACAAGTGTAAGAGAAGATTAAAATTGATTTCAGTTAATAAGATTTTCTTCTTTTCAGCTTAAATCATTCTGAATCTAAAACACAGGAGTAAAATCAATTCACACAATGATACACTCAAGCCTTGTTTCAAAGACAACCCCCACAACACTGACTAGAAGACACTGGCTTGCTGAAAATATCTGTGAAAATTGGTTATCTCGGCTCAGTTCTTTGTGGATGGGTTTTGTAGCAGAAGGGGCTACCCTCCATTCAGGCCAAGGAATGGGTATCTCCTTTCCTTGCCTCTTTACTCTCTGATCTTTATGCCTTTCCCCTTTATCCTCCCACCCATCACTCACACAACCTTAACCGAATGCGTTAAGCCTCTTATTTATGGCTATTGAGAAATTCCAAAAGCTTGCAGAAAACAAGAAACTTATCTCAATAGGGAAGAAAAAAAAATCATTTGAGGGGGCTCTCCAGGAAATCTAACAAGCAAGTAACAAACAGAGAGGCCAGACGGATTTTCCTGGGCGGCCTGTGGCTCAGCCGGGATGGTGGGCAGGTTAGAGTAGGAAAATCTAGTTCACTATCACAGACGAGTGCTTCTCCCTGGGATTAATTAAAGATCTCTCTGATGCAGCCTGCCTAAAATATGTAGGGCAGCCAGAGATAACTCACGGGGAGCTGTGGAGGCTCACGATGATTAAAAGTGGGGAAAGTATTTCTTGCAGCGTCAGCTGCAGCACTTCACGTCTTGCCTCCTGGAAGTAACACGGTGCTTTAAAAAAATCAAAGTGCTCTGCCAACATTAACCCATCTGGAAGGCGACTTTGTCCAGCAGTTGCCTCATGGGTCTAAGCCACCACACAGAAGTCTGTTTCTGCCTTGTCCCCCTTTGCTGAATGAGCATGGACACAAGTGAACTCCCCATACAGGGAGGGCACACAGCTTCCTTTGGCACACACTGAGCTTCGGGGTGAGGATGCTCCTTTACAATTCGCTTCGATTTCATTAGTTCAAACTTGAAACATGCTCTGGGAGAGGCAAACGACTCCAGCTAACAAAGGAGAAAGCCAAAAGGCACACGGGGATTCTCCCCCACCTGGCTGATGCGCGCCTCAAGATGGCTCTGTGAGGGACGCGCCTCTGGAAAATGGTGCCCCCTCCGCCACCCCCCGGCTCCCCGCGGCCGCCTTACCTGCCGGCTCCACCCGCGGGGCCCCGCTGCCGCTCCGTGCGGCCAGGGGGAGCTCCTCGGGGCCCCGGGAGAGCCGCTGCCCTCCGCCTTTCCCCGCTGACACAGCCCCGGTCCCGGGGCGCGGCATGGGGCGGAGCGGCGGCTCGGGAGAAAGGGGGGGGGAAAATGGCGGCGGCGCGGGGGCTGCTGGCGGCGGGGCTCTTCAGCGGGCGGGTGGCCATCGTCACCGGCGGCGGCACCGGCATCGGCAAGGCTATCGCCGCCGACCTGCTGGCCTTAGGTGGGCGGGCAGAGGG